GATGGGGTCAATGCTGCATGGAGGGCTTTCAAGGTGGAACTGACAACTTGAAAGCAGGAGCGCCAAACTCCTGTCTGGTGGGACCCTTTAAACCCCATGATTTTATAAAGAAAGAAAGCAGGTGAGAGTGTTGCAATCAAGCTCCGGAGAAGCAGAACCTGAAACAGGGATCCTCGGGCGAGGGGGGTGTTGAGGGAGGGCTCTCAGGAGAAACCTGGAAGAAGATGCTAGGGAAAAATGTGGTTCAAGCAAAGTCTAGCCTCAGCCTGACCCCATGGGTAGCTCTGGAGCATGACTTGCCCCACAGAGGTGGTTCCTCCTACAAGGTAAGGGGCTGGGGGGTGAGGGATGGCCATAACCTCCCAGGCGTCTCCTCAGCCAAGAGCAAGCCTTTAGAGGAGGGCACAGGTGTGAGCCATTAGCAGTCAACAGCTGGAGCAGCTCGGGGTGGGGCGGCCTGGGAAGCAGCAACATGCGGGGTTGTTGCAGTGAAAGGAATCCTGGCTCTGCCTCTCACTGGCTGTGCTCAGGCTGCTGGTGTCTGCACAGCGTGTGTTCACACGGTGATGGGAGAAGACGGGGCGAGGGGTGGGGGTGGGGAGGGGCGGGGGTGGGACTAACTGAAGGTATTCAAGGTCTCTTCTTTTCCCCGGAGTGACTCTGGAGGAGTCAGGGGCGTAGGGGGATAAAAGATGGTGCTGGCAGAATTCCTCATTGTTTAATGCTCAGTGTTCCAAGAACAACACAGCCTTTGACTTCTTCTTCCTCCAAAACTCATTATTTAAACAGAAGTTTGACTAACAATCAAAATACCTTAAAAAAAAAAAAAAAGACTTGAGCCAATTAATGAATGCAGGTTTTCTTCAGAAGTCATGAGGATCCAGCACATGGTCAGCTCTCTGCGATGACGGGATGCCCTCCTCCTTTCCCATCCTTCTGGCTCAAAAATAAAGCCAAACGAAACAAGGCCTTCCTTGGTTCTACCATCAAGGATGAAGTCGAGAGCTGAAGCCCTTCCTTAATTGGAAGTCAGAGGTGCAGGGGGAGGGGAGAGAGGCTTCTGTCCGCAGTGCAGGACATTCCCTTGGGGAGACTGATTTTGGGGACTGCAGAGTCCCACTATGGAGCTTCCTCAGGGCTGCCCTGGTCCTTTGTCCCTGCTTATTCATCTGATCTCATGCACTGTATCTGCTGCCTTCATGAGCTGGGCAGCCAGCCAGTTTCTGCTCTCATCTCTCTGGCAATGGAAGGAAGGACGGGGCTGGCCACAGACCAACCACAAAATGCTGTCACAGTCCCCTGCCGCTCCCTCACGGTGCCACCCACTCACACAACCCTCCAGGTGCCTCTCCGAGCTCTCCCTCTCTGCTTACCCTGCAGGGCTTCTGTGTTCTCCCTCACTTCCCCCACCCCATGCCTTTGCCTCGGATCACCTGATTACCCGGTTGGTAACCAGCCCAAACTAGAAGTCAGGTTCCTCTCCATCCTCCCCAGTCTCCCTCACACTTTCATTCATACTAAAGTGCATGTGGCTAAGGAAATTTCATTTTTTTTAACATAGTTTTTTTTCCTGAGGAAGATTCACCCTGAGCTAACATCTGTTGCCAATCTTCCTCTTTTTTTCTTTTTTGCTTGAGGAAGATTCGCCCTGGGCTAACATCTGTGTCCTCTATTTTGTATGTGGGACACCGCCACAGCATGGCCATCAACAAGTGGTGTACGTCTACACCTAGGAACTGAACCTGGGCTGCCAAAGTGGAGTGTGCTGAACTTAATCACTAGGCCACGGGGCTGGCCCCAGAAGTTTCATTTTTATACATCCATCAGAGTACTAAGCTGAAAAGTGAAGCTTCCCAGGGAAGACTTCTAGAACTCAGGCAGTGAGCAGCAGAGACAGAAGGCGGGAGGAGGGAGGCGCTGGCTTTCCTGGAGCCCCTAGAACCACACGGTGACTGCTGACTCTTTCACAACACTCGTTGAGCCAGCGCTGTTGGGGGAGGGGTACAAATAGAGAATTGGCAAAATTTTATTTATGTTTTAAACGGATCACTCGGAAACTCTCCTGCTTTCAATTTGTACATCAGGCCAGGCCTGAGTGAGACTACTCCTGTGTGTGTGTGCATGTGTGTGGGAGTGGGAGTCTGTGGTGTGTGTTCATGGTATGTGTGACGTGTGTGTGTGAGGCATATGATGTGATGTGTGTGTGTGTGTGAGATATGTGTGGCATGTGTTGGGGAATGTGTAGTGTTGTGCGTGATATGTGGAATGTATGGGTTGGATGTGTGGTGTGTCTGTGATGTATGTATGCTATGAATGGTGTGTGTGGCATGGGATACATATCTTGTGGTGTATGTGTGCATGATGTGTGGGGTTTGTGTGTGTGTGTGTGTAAAGGAGAACCTTCCATGGCACTCTGGCTGGCACAGGATACTCACCTTTTGTCTACACCCCGGGCGCTTAGTCCAGCTTCAACCCTACCTTCCCAAGCTGCAGCTGGGAGGACTGGGACAAGTGGGGACACGCAATCTCTGAGCACATATTTATCGACTCTCTGCCCCAGATCAAAGATGCCCATTTTGCACTAATTTTTTGTATATGGTGTTATGTAAGAGTCCAACTTGATTCTTTTGCACATGGATGTCCAGTTTTCCCAACAAAATTTGTCGAAAAGACTGGTCTTTCTCCATTAAATGATCTTGGCCCCCTTGTTGAAAATCATTTGACCGTGTCTATGAGGATTCATTTCTGGGCTCTCTATTCTATTCCATTGGTCCGTATATCTGTCTTTATGCCAGTACCATATTATTTTGATAACTGTAGCTTTGTAGTAAGTTTTAAAATCAGAAAGTGTGAGTCTTTCACCTCTGTTCTTTTTCAAGATCTTTTTGGACTATTCAGGGTCCCTTGAAATTCCATACGAATTTTGGGATGGAGTTTTCAATTTCTACAAAAAACAGTCAGGATTTTGATAAGGATTGCATTACATCCGTAGATTGATCTGAGTAGTAGTGACATCTTAACAATGTTACGTCTTCCAATCCATGAACAAGGAATGGCTTTCCGCTTCTTTGTGTCTTTAATTTCTTTCAACAACATTTTATAGATTTCATCGTATAAGTCTTTTGCATACTTGGTTAAATTTGTTCCTAAGTATTTTATTCCGTTTGATGCTATTGTAAATGGAATTTTTTTTCATAATTTCCTTTTAGGATTGTTAATGTATGGAAACACAGTGAATTTTTGTGTTGACTTTGTATCCTGCCACTGAGCTAAATTTATTAGTTCTAACAGTTTCTTTGTGGAAAGGGAAGGTTTTGAATTTCCCAGCTGACGAGGAAAGCAATGGATTTGAATCGGCAATTCAGATCTTCTGCTCACCAGGGTCTCAGCAGAGAACATACTGGGTAAATGACTTTCGTGGGGGACTCAAGCTTGAAGAATGCAGGGGCCTTCCATTCTCTTGGGTGATTTATACATTATCCTCAAGCTTGACCATAAGGAGCATCTATTTAGAGCCTCTTGTGTATAGCCCCTCTTAGATTATTTTTGCTTGGATGTTTTTAATGGATTATTTAATTATATTGACTATGTAATACACTCTCATGGTACAAAATTCAGAAGGCACAAACGTCCATATAACGAAAAGTCAGTCTCTTACCTCTATCACCCTCCACAGAGTCCTCCTGCCCAGAAGTGAGCATTGTTACCAGTTTCTTGTGATTCCTTCCAGAAATGATCTGGGACATATACAAGCATTTAAGTATATGTACCCTTCTTTTTGGTTATAGACATTTTTCTGCTTCTTGCTGTTCTTCACTTCCCAATATACCTTGGAGATTATTTTACATGAGTACCTAAATTGCTCCTCTTTCTTTTTTAATAGCTGTATAGTACTCCATAGGATGTTTGTACCTTAATGTGTTTGATGGACATTTAGGCTGTCTCCCACTTCTGATATTACAGCTGGTGCAGAGTGAATATTAGGATTACTCTTGAATGACATTTCAGTGCCACAGGTCACACTGAGGAGCCTTATGAGAAATGCTTGTTATCGTATCTATTGTCAGAGTGCCATTCAGGGCATCCATCACCTTCTACATCTCAGGGGGATCTTTAAGGGGACGGGTGGAGGAATTCCTCCCACATTTCAGTACCAAGGCTGAGGTGGTGCTTCTCCTGAGAAGTTCTGATTTTCTTCATCTTATGGACTCGGTGGTTCATGTATTTGACTGTTGTTCACTCTTTGCTTTGGCCACCAGGGTGCTCAGAACCAAGTTTATGGGCCTTGTTAGCAACTCTACAGGACTATTTACTATACATTTATGGATACTAATCTTACTCCTGGTTTCATTATTTTCCCTCCCTTTATTTTCCTTTCACTTCAATTCCCAAAGCTATTTGTTTTATACCTTGACACCACGTGCATTTTTTAAAGATTTTTATTTTTTCCTTTTTCTCCCCAAAGCCCCCCAGTACATAGTTGTGTATTCTTCGTTGTGGGTTCTTCTAGTTGTGGCATGTGGGATGCTGCCTCAGCGTGGTCTGATGAGCAGGGCCATGTCCGCGCCCAGGATTCGAACTAACGAAACACTGGGCCGCCTGCAGCGGAGCGCGCGAACGTAACCACTCAGCCACGGGGTCAGCCCCAACACCACGTGCATTTTTGTAAGCCATCTCCAGTTCTTTGTATAATGAAGTGGGTATAAATAAACACATACAGACATAAATATATCCATCATACATAAATAAAATACCAACTTGAGTCGAGTACCCAGAGGCAGACTTGATCTCTCTTCACCCTCCCTACAGCGTGATCCACGGGCCTTCCCCTCCCTGAGCCTCTTGCAGGATCCGCTAGAGTCCCTCCTCAGCCTGGCCCCGCGGCCCAGGAGCCTGCTTCCCGGTTGCTCCAGGAGACATTGTAGTCCATCAAAATTCTCCCAGGCCCTCCTGCCCCAGACGAAGGCTGAGAAGAAAGTCGGGCTCCCACGCTCTGTAATATCTTCACCTGGAGCAGGGGCGGAGGGGAGGAGGGGAAGAGAAGCGTTGGCGGCTGCACCCTGCCCCGCATCAGCACCGCGGGCATCCGGTTGCTGCAGCCGCCCTCCCTCCCGCGCCGGCTCAGCTGCACGCCCCGGCACTTCCTCCCACACATCAGCGTTCTTTTGCCTCAGTGTGAGAAAGCAATTTGCATCCAGCCAGCAGGATTAAGACAGATGGAAGCAGCCTGCTTTCTCGTCTGAGAAACCCCTCTCATCTTGCGGAGGCTGCTGTGCGGAAGGCGGAGGGAGCGGTTTAACGTGGCCTCTGCGGGCTGAGTTTCAGATCTGTGGGTCAGCTGCCTTGGAGACGCCGAGTGAGTGACCTGCTGGGAGTGCTCAGCCTGGTGACCAAACACACGTGAACTCTTCCCGCGTGGCCTGTAGCCCCTGGCCTCTAGCCCCTGCAGCGGGCAGCTGTTTGAAGTCAGAGGGAGGATGGACCAGGGCTGTTGCCAATACCCGGGCTGGGCCTGGGGCACCAGAGCAGCACTCCCAGAATGGGATTCAGGACGCAGAGACGCATCTGGAGTGCTGCTCTCTCCCAGGGCTTCTCCCTTGGGATGGAAAGCGCCGAGAGAGAGCAGAGAATTCAAAAGCCTGCGCCTTTTCCTGAGCTGAGTGCCGATGTTTGCCATCCTCAGTGTCTTTATGTGCAAAATGGGTATTTAATAGCAACCGTGCTCAAAGAGTTGTTAGGAGGATTAGATAATAGAGGATTAGATAAGAGGATTAGATAATAATAGCCCTTATTACAGTCAGTCATCATTTTAAGTGCTTTACATGCAATAACTCATTTAATCCTTACAAACTCTTAGTTATTATTATCCCCGTTTTGCAGAGGAAGAAACTGAGGCTCAGAGAGCTTAAGTAATTTGCCCAACGTCACCTAGCAGGTGAGTAACAGAGCAACGATTTGAACCCAAGTAATCTGGCCCCAGAGTCTGTGCCCTTAAACTCTAGGGACCTAAGGCTTATCTGCAAAGATCTTGGGGGGCCGGGGGTGGGGGTGGGGGGGTGGCTGCCACTGGGAAGGAAGACACTCGTTCAAAGGTAGCACCTTGTTCTGGTGTCTGAGCCACTGGAGCCGGTTTCCAGGCTCCACCTGGGAGGTGAGCTCCAGGAAGGCTGATCCTCTGGCAGCCCCACCCTCCCCTCCCCCAGGGTGGGGGCCCTTCTCACGCTCCAGGTACCTACCTCCATCGACGCATTTAATACCGTGGGCTTAGGCTACATCTTCTGCTTACATCTCTGTCTCCCCTGCTTGTCTGCCAGTGACCGTTCTCTCCGATATCCCAGGACTTAACATAGTTCTTGACATCTAATGGTGCTTGATGTTTACTTAAAGATCGTTTCTTCTTTGTTTTGCACTAGAGCCGTGACCTCACCCTCCTCCTGGGGGCCTGGGCCAGAGATGTCACCTTGTAATCTGTTCTGTTTTGTCTGCTCGTGTCTCAAGCAGCCTGTTTTGAGGGCCCGTTAAAAATATCTTTATAATTGTTGTTGTTTTCCAGCACAAAAGCAAATCATGCTTCTAAAAAAAGAAATTGGAACCTTACAGCAACTTGGAAAATGGACGTCCTCCCTAACCTGCTATTCCAAGTGGGGTCCTGGCTTGGCATCACCTGGGAACGTGTCAGAAATGCAGAGTCTCAGGCCTTCCCGCCCTGCCTGGCTGAATTGGAATCTGCATTTCATAGGATCCCACTGACTCACAGGCACCTGCAAGTGTGAAGAGCTGGTGCAACCCTCCTCCTCTCCCACCCCCGCGAAGACCACAAGTGTCCCCAGTTTTGTGTGCATTTGAGAGCCTTTTAAAAAGCACACTCTTCTAACCTCTCAGTAATTACCTGCAATTTTGCAGCCGCATCTAAAACCAAAATCCTCTTCAAAGCCATTCAGCAGGGAGCTAACAAAACATCATCATCTTGTCTGTCTGCTCCCACTCTGCCCCCCTCCAACCTGTCACCCCCCCAGTTGCCACAGAGATCTTTTTAAAAAAAAAAAAGATAAATAAATCAGCTCATGTCGCTCTCCTGCTTAGAATCCTGTGGTGGCTTTCCATTGCTCTGGGAACAGCCCGGCATCCTCGCCACCGCCTGTCTCCAGCGCCCTTCCTCCTGCTCCTCACTCCGGACACACTGATCTTCTCTCTGGGTCTTTGCCATCTCTGCTCCTGTGCCCGATGCCCTTTCTTCCTCTTTCCCTGGCTGGTTCCTTTTCATCCTTCAGGTCTCAACTTAAATGTCACCTCCTCAGAGGTGCGAGAGGAAATGCCCACCCTGGGACTAGCACACCCTTGCCTGCCAGTGCTCTCTGCCACAGCGGCTATGGTCAGGACTGTCTCCCCATAGATGTGTGAGTCCCATGGGAGCAGGGACCTCCTGCCTCACTCAGTCGCTCTCCTTTGTACGCAGTACTTGGCAAATGGCCTGCACACGGTAGGTTAATAATAAATATCTGTTGAATTTATGCCTGCTTTCTGGATATCAGGCATAGTAATATCATCACCCTGTTTTTATAGGCTTGTTGAAATTATAAAAATAATAGATGCTAATTATATATTTTTAAAAACTCTTCAGGCAGGAATAAAATAAAAGGAACACCCTTTTTTCCTTGATTCCTTTCAACTGCAAAAGTAACCACTGATAGCATATTTTGTCTCCTTCCCAAATTGGATAACCTTTTAAAAACCACACAAATAAGATCATGCTATAATTACTAATTCTGTACTGCAACTTGCTTTTCTTTGTTTTCTTTGGTGAGGAAGATTGGCCCTTAGCTAACAAGTGTTGTCAATCTTCCTCTTTTTTTTGCTGAGGAAGGTTGGCCCTGAGCTAACATCTGGGCCAATCTTACGCTATTTTGTATGTGGGACTCCACCACAGCATGGCTTGTATATGACAGTGGCGCTAGGTCCACACCTGGGATCTGAACCTGTGAACCCAGAGCTGCCAAAGCAGAGTGTGTGAACTTAACCACTACACCACTGGGCTGGCCCCTGCAACTTGCTTTTCTTTAAAATTGTGGTAAAATTGACCATCTTAACCATTCTTTAGTGTAGAGTTAAGTAGTGTTAAGTATATTCACATTGTTGTGCAACGGATCTGCAGAACTTTTTCATCTTGCAAAACAAACTCTACACCTATTAAACAGCAACTCCCCATCTTCTCCTTCTATTTCCTGTTTCTATGAGTTTGAACAACTTGCTTTTTGGACTTGATGATACATCTTCCCAGACGGGCACGTCAGATCCAGCTCGTTATTCCTCCAGCCTCATCGTATTCCACAGTGGCTGCAGCTGATGTTTAACCAGCCTCCCGTCAGGGGACAGGGAAGTTGCTGCCAGTGTTTTGCTGTTACAGACCATGCTGTGATGCCAGGGTTAAACCCCCAGAGCTGGGAGGTCAGAGGGTATGCGCTTCCATTTTGCCAAATTGCTACTCAGAGAAGTCAGAGCAGTCAACCGCCCCACCCACAGGGGATGAGGGCTTGAAGGGAGGGGTCAGTGACTCTTCTGTCTGGTTTCCCGGAAAAGCCTGGAGGGTGACCTGGTGGCGGGACCGGGAATCAAGCTCCTAGATGTATACACAGGAGGAAATCTCATTCAAAAGCCACATAATGAGTGGACTTAGGAAGGAGCTCGTTGCCATGGCAACCTGAGTCCCCTGCTGCAAGGTTGCGGGGGGAGGTTTCTTCTGTCTTCTCTCTACCTGGCAGGAGCTCCTCTCTTCTCAACATCACTTGAGAAAGAAAGACAGAGTGTGGCATTCTTTTACTGAGGTCAGTGCGCAGTTTCTGACAGGGACCACCCTGTCACAGACAAGGTGTGATTCTCAGTCGTCCTCTCAAGGTGGAGAGCTGGCTGAGCCCCATTCCTGTGGTGGACAGAGGCACCTGGGTATCTCGCCTAAAACACTGATGTCATGGACCCCACCGACCTGCACTGTCTTTTCTCATACTCCCTAGAGGAGCTGGGTGGGCCAAGCTCCCAAGGAGATTGTTCTGTTCCCTTCACAAGAAGAGGTTTTCCAAATTTTTGTTTTTTCAGAATGCCGAAAGTCAAGGTCAGGGGAAGTGGCTTGAGCAGGCCTCTTAAAACAGTCCCTGGGGTCAGCCCAGTGGCAGAGCAGTTAAGTTTGTGCGCTTCACGTCAGTGGCCTGGGGTTTGCCGGTTCAGATCCCAGGCATGGACCTACGCACCGCGTATCAAGCCATACTGTGGCAGGCGTCCCACATATAAAATAGAGGAAGATGGGCATAGATGTTAGCTCAGGGCCTGTCTTCTTCAGCAAAAAGAGGAGGATTGACAGCAAATGTTAGCTCAGGGCTAATCTTCCTCAAAAAAAAAAACACAAACAAACAGCAGTCCCTGGCTCTAAGTCACTTTCCTCTGCTTCCTTCAGGGCATTTAACCCAGAAAATGCCGATTGGAATAGAGCTGGGGGAGAGGCAGCAGCAGGCCGGGCAGAATTCAATTAAATTAATTTTACCTGTTCCTGCATTAGGCTGTATGCCAGGCACACAGTGTACACGCCCTCGTCCAATTCTTTTAACCGCTCAGTAAGGTGGGAATTTTTATCCCCACTGTTATAAGAATGAAATCTGAGGCTTCAAAGCTTCAGTGCAAGAATAGGACCCGGGCTTTGCCTGAGTCTCAAGGTCATGCTCCCCACTCCCCACCGGGAGATAATTTGGAGATGCTAAATTGGAGATGCGAACCAAGCTGGGGAGGGACGGTCCCTTCTCTTGGATGTATGAGACGGCAGCCAACTTTGTCTCCCTCTAAGCAAAGAGGTCTGTGAGGACTTGACCCACCAGTGTCACCTATCCCTTCACCTGACGTCCCCTCCTCCCTGACTCCCACGCCCCTCCTTTAATCGGACAGTGGGCTACAGTGGGGAAAACATGGAATGTGGAGGTTCATGTCCACACTAGCTGTGGATCCTGACTCTGTCTGAACCCCAGTCTCAAAACAGAAATACGTGAAAACGATGCCTCTGGGTTTTGTTTGTTTGCTGTAAGAACACCTAGCACCCTGGGGCGGATTCAGTGAAGGGAGGGGAAGGATTCCCAGGACGTGACTTTGCTGTTAGACTCAACAGCCCAGGCCTGCAGCCTCTGGCTTGGGAGCCCTTTCCACTTTCTCGTACTTGGGCTTCCCTGTGAGGCACTTCCCCTGGCCTCCAGGGTATATGACAGTCTTGATTTGTACCTTGAATTTGATTGTTTTGCATCCTATCCCAGAGGCAAGCATCCCTGAGGCATTCCCAGGAGAATCTTGTCCCACTCACACACACATTCTGTCTCCACATTCCAGGCCCCCGAGGAACCCTTTTCCTCAAGTCCACCCCCTCCGGCAAGCCTCAGAAATTTGTTCTGGGCGCTCTGTGCTCCCCAGGCTTTGGAGCACTGCCTGGTGACAGTGGCCTGGGCAGCAGGAGCAGAGATTAATCCTCAAGGAAAATTGCAAAGACAAATGTTGCTTCTCTGGTTCCTGTTGATGAGGATTTTTAGGCTGCTTAATTTTAAAACTGCAGATGAGAAGCAGGCTCTGGGGAATGGAACTTGCCCTTGTTGGACACATTTACCTTTGTAAGGTAAATCTCTATCTGTAAAAGGTGCCTCCCTCTCTGTACCAGGAAGAAGAAGAGAGATGACCTTATCCCTAGAAACTCTTAATGTGGAAGGCCAGAACTTAAGTTGGTTACTGTCTGGCAACCTCATGTAACTGATTTAGGGTGGTGGCTTCTGGCCTTTACTTAATCCGATTTGATTCTTATCTAAAAGTCGTGGGCCCACTCAATGGCCAGACCCCACCTGCACTGATGCCATTTTAACTTTTTTCCATGTTCTTTCCTTTGTCTTGGTAAAGAGATGACTCACATACCCATGCCTTATAAAATTAGCCCTAACCCTCAACTCGGGGCAGCAGCAGGAGCTCTGACTGCCCATGGGCCCTGTCCCCACGCACCAGCTCTGCCTGCCCATGGGTCCTGTCCCCATGCTATCCTATTCTCTAAATAAAAGAGCACTACTGCCAGATCTTGAGAGTCTAAGAAATGTTTCTTTCGACTCCTCGGCTCACCGACCCTGCATCACTGTGACTGATCTGATAGGCCCCTGCCCCACCATGGGGAGGTGGGAAGGAACCCTAATTCGGCAATTCATGTGGCTGCAGCATCTTCTAGTCTAAATCATCTCTCTTGGATGACTCAGTCTCTGGAGGGTAAATGCTCAGTCCTTTGAATTTGCTCTCCTTCCCACTACCACGCTCCATGACGCTGGGGGCCAGGTCCGCTGAGGGGTGCCCCGTGGGCTTTCTGGGTTGCCTGCTGACATCCAGTGCCAGAATCATCCCTGAGCATGAGGGCCCCACAGACAGTGGTCTCTTTTTCCTGACCCAAGACTCTGAGGCCCTCCAAGTCTCCTTGTGGGATCCCAGAGAATTTCAGGATCTCCTGCAGCCGTGGGGAGCCACCACCTCAGTGTTGCACTTGCGCTCCTCTGACTTGGTGGACACAATGTCTAGCCCGCTATGGGCCTCCTCCTGAGGACCTGAATAGGAAAGAGGGCCAGGGCTCCCACACTTCAGCCTCCCCTCCACCCTCCTCACTCACCCCTCCCTCAACTCCCGGCTTTGGCCTGGAGGAGGAGATAAGACCATGTGTGGGAACCACCTGTGACCCTTGCCTCTGCCTTCCTTCACGGTTGTCCTGCGGCCACAGCCCTTGCGTCGTATCCTGATTTCCTTCCACTCCAGGTTCGTAAGAAGACTCGGTGATCTAGACCACCAGGCCTGGCTCTTGATATTTTTTTTTTTTTTTTTGAGGAAGATTAGCCCTGAGCTAACATCTGCCAATCCTCCTCTTTTTGCTGAGGAAGACTGGCCCAGAGCTAACATCCATGCCCATCTTCCTCTACTCTATACGTGGGACGCCCACCACAGCATGGCTTTTGCCATGTCCGCACCCAGGATCCGAACCGGTGAACCCCGGGACCGCCGAGAAGCAGAATGTGTGTGCTTAACGGCTGC